TTAATTGCTGCAATCTTGGCAGTGATTTTTGAAGTACATGCTGATTTCATTGTTCATTAAGCTGTATATTTTGTCTTCCATTTCTATAGAATTGAAATATATAAAAAAGTAACCGAGACTTATTCTAATTTAAAAAACTCTGCTTCTCTTTTTCACCCGGAAAACAGTTTCCTCTTGGAAAGTACAATTTTGCAAGACAAACAAATCATAGGAGTATATATAAATTCAAATTTGACTTCTCTTTTTTCCTATTTTTGTTTTCAAGCTCCTATGATAGAGTATTATAGTCGTCAACCATCTGAGGTCATGATTATTGGTAAACTAAATGTTGGTTTTAATTTCTAGGCTGTTGAGACAAAATGCAACCAAGTTTTTGATGGAGGATATTTATAGAAACCCGGGACCTCTTCAGTTTGATGGCCCCGGTGCTGATTCAAAACCTGTTACTCTCTGTGTTGAAGATCAAGATTATATGGGCCGTATTAAGAAATTGCAGGAATATCTCGACAAGGTATCTATTGATTTCCATATAATGTCGTTCTTTACTTTGTTGATTTAGATACCCACATGGATATAATAACTCGGTGCATAATCTCTATTTTACGCCAACTTTTATATATATATATTTTATTTATTTATTTATTTTTTTCAGGTGCGTTCAATAGTGAAACCAGGATGTTCACAGGATGTCCTTAAAGCTGCTTTGAGTGCAATGTCCTCTGTAACAGACATTCTTTCTGTTATGTCTGCACCTTCCAGTGGAAGCACTCCCTTCTAAATTCTAACTATTACCTCTAAAGGAATGGATTTTTTAAAAGACCGAGCTACTGTGGAATTACCTCCTCCATTTTTGAACTTATTTCCTTCCATTTTTATATTTTTCTTATTATCTTATGATTTATAATGTTTTTGGGCTTGAGACTTGAGAGCATGAAATCTTGAGATGCGAAAAGAATAAGTGAAGAGTGCTTGCAATGAAGTGATTCTGACTGAATGAAGGGATTCAAACCTTAGTTCTCAAAACTCGGATAGGAACCCCCGGCTTGATCGGTAAACTGTTTTACACCGGTCTAGTTTGGCTGAAAAAAAAAAGAAAGAAAGAAAGAAAGAAAAAAAAAACAGTCAATGCAAAAGCTGGCTAACTAAAACTGATCAAGAGCTGGGCGAATTAGTTTCGAACAGGTTCGTTTTGATTTGTTTTTACTTCTTGGTGATGATTTTGAACACAAGTGGAATCGAATTTTGTCGTGTGTTTGTGTTTTAGTTGTTGAGTACTTTCTCCAGTGATGTCCGGTTGTTGTTCAAGAGCTACATGCGAAATAGGGGTATTTAAGCTGGTAAAAGTTATGTAAATAAAAATACAACATATACTAAAAATATACTGATTGCAAACGCAACATAAACTGAAAATATTCTGATGTTCGTCTTGCATAAGATTATGATGCTCGTCGTTAAGCTTTGACCTTTTTTGTTATAATTGTCGACATGATCGATTTGTCATTGTAGATTAAAAAGATGTAAATTGTATATATCTACTTATATGTTACGGAGACGTAAATTGTGTATGTCTACTTATATGTTCTATACATAATTACAGGTTATAAACCAAACATAAATTGAATTTTAGTTGAGCAAAAAAAAGTGTAATCTAGTATGTATATTTCTTTTTGTACATCTTCAGAACCCTTATAATATGTTTTACACATCAATGTTGTACATATTATAGGTATAAAATTAAGTAAGAAATATAAATAAAAAGTATAAACAAAATTCAAAACAGCACAATTGTGGTTAGATAATGTTATGTAATAAAACGCCACGTATACTGAAAATGTACTGAGTATAAACGCAACATATACTCAAAATATAATTTGGTCAATTTACATATATACTCTCGGAAACATGGTGGTCGAATTCAATATTGAGTTGCTTTTTTTTGGGATGCAATCTTCAAAGTGTCAGTGATGAATATTACCATGTAGAGACGATTTAATTTTTTAATTATGGCGCATATCGCCAGTTACGAATTTTCAACTAAAACTATTACTTAATGCAGCATTTTGTTATCTTGTATTTAGCTAATTATATAGATTTAGTTTAGTACATGTGCAAATAAGTTTAGGATCAAGTAAATTTGCAATTATTCCAACTATCCGTAATGTACTTAACAATGCTAAATTAAAATTTTGTAAATCCGTCCAGGAGCTATCAAATAAAAAAACCTGACCATAAAAGCACAATACAGTGCTTATACAAACTATGCCAACTAATAAAATGAGACCATAAAAGCGCGTAGTCATAACAAAGTCCAAAATCCCACAGCAAATGATAGACAATACAATACTTATACAAACTGTGCCAACTAATAAAACCTGTTCATAAAAGCACGCAGTCATAACAAAGGTCCAAAATCCCACAGCAAAGGATAGACAATACAGTACTTGAACAAAACTATGCCAACTGGGACTCTGCAAACACTCAACACAGTTGTGGCCATGGCTCGCAGTCTCATAACTCCACCTCTTAACTTTTACTCATTTTCCTGAAAAGGAAGTCCATAATATATCATTTCCCAACAAGCATGCAAAACACATTATGAGACAAAAAAAAAAGTAGTGNNNNTGAATATAGAAAAAAAAAAAAACTAAGATAAATCTAAACTCACACGAAGATAAGATCCGCCGCAACCATCACTCCTCAGCCATAGCCTCCTTCACATCAATCGCGAAGGTATACTCCTGATCACACCCCAGATACGAATCACACATGAAATATAGGGTATAAGTTTTCTTCCCAGGCTCATTAGGTGCCGTAAAGTCGAGCTTCACCCTCGACTTCCTCTGGAGAGAAACCCTTTTAATCGCATGCAGCTGATTCGTTTTGGTATCACCAACCACCAACCACCACCCTTCCTCCTTCGACTTTGGGTACCTGGGAGCATCCACGGGCCCCACCTCCACCCTCCCCTCGAGATCACGCTCGAGGCTAACGATAATGCTCAAGTCCTCCCCAACCCCAACATTATCTGCACCCGGAACATCGTAACTCAGGTCAATATTCGGAAAACGGTTGCAAAAACGAGCAATATCCATCAACTGCGCATCCGACATCTGCAGAAGCTCACGCCTCTCGTCATCCTCCATCTCCAAAAGGTCAAAGATGGTCTCGATCGGTTTTCCCGGATTTTCCTTGCACCTAATCGCCAGCTCCTTGGTGAAGTGCGGCAGCTGGAGGAGCATGGAATCGCGTTCCCACATGCCCTGAGTCACCATCTGGCTGACTTCCATAGTAAGTAGGGCAAGGCTTAGCCAGCCATTGCTGGAAATGACGTCCACCATTGCCTGAAGCAGCCTGCTCGCGTAAATTAGCACCTCTCGTTGGTCGGAGGCCAGATTCCCGCCAATCGCCTGCCTGGAAAAGTGAGCCTGCAAAAGGGCGTTGGCCTTCACGCTTGGATCTGTGAATTTCGGGTTCTCGAACGAGAATCGTTGGTGGTTGATTAGCCTCCGTATCAACTCCTCCTCCCCAGGTCTGATTGGGATCTGCTCGTACTCCGAGGCAGAGGACAGAATCTCCAGGAGACTCTTCAGCCTCGTCTTTGAAGTCAGGGTAGAACTGAACTGCTCGATTGTCGTGTAACTGATGTAGTAGTAAGAGGCTATCATGCCGAGGTTGAGAGGGGACAGCAAGAAGTCGTCCTCGATAGCGACGCACTTACTCACCTCGAGATCGCTGAGCGTGGTCTCGACGAGCTCTGAAAGGTGATCGGACAAGTGGCGGTGGCTCACGCCTTGGAGATTATAGAAGTTCGGGTTCTGTGTGAGCCTCCTGTACATGAAGGTCCACGTGAGGTAGTCCACAGCGTCTTGTTTGTTTTGTATGACCCCAACCACGACCTCTGCATTCAAATTGTCGTGCAAGAAGTGGTGCAAGTTGCTCTCGACAGGTAAGGCCTCGTACAAGAATTTCTTGTAGTACTCTTTGCGAGGGGCGTGGCAGAGGATGACACATTTTCCTGAGTTGTCCACGAGAGGCCGGCTGGCGTGCCCCATCATCTGGAGTAAATCCGGCACTGGGTAATCAGTGTGCGAATTTTCCCTGCCATCGTAATACTGTGTTCCCATGACTACAACGAGGTGCGCGGAAAGCGGGACCCCCCAGCACATGGAGCTGCTCATCACGCAAACCTGAATCATACCCGTCTCGAAAAGTGTCTTCACTATATCCTGATCCGTGCTGCTAAGGCCCTCGTGCAAGTACCCCACGCCAAACTGAATCGTCTCCTTCAGCATAGGCTCTTTGATGTCGACAACAAACGGGTCGAGCTCCTCTTTCGGCCGAAGCAAAAACAGAGGATTCTGTTCGCTGTCCATACTCGAGTAAGTCATGAGGTCAACTGCCGTGAGACGAGTGTGCTTCCTGGTGGGGGTGAAGACGATTGCAGGCTTCCCGTTCTTGGCATGCTGCACGATTGCCGTGTATGTCGGTTTTGTCATGGCCTGCATCCGGCCTTCGAAATTGGCAATGTAGACGCCTTGAATATGGATTTCCAAGGGCACGGGCCTTACGCCAGGAGGAAAGTTAAAAAGACCGTGAGACGTGGCCCCAATCCATTCTCCCAAATCCTTCGCATTCGCAAGGGAAGTCGAGAGGGCCACGATTCGGATTTTGTTATCCAGCTGGCTAGTGATGTAACGCATTCTGGAGACAATGATTTCTAAAACGGGCCCACCTTGCCCACCCATCAAGTGAAGCTCGTCGATGATGAAGAGGCTGACCTGCTGGACGTGCTTCCGCTGTTTCCACCGGCGAGACAGAGCATCCCATTTCTCGGGGGTGCTTATAATTATCTGACCTTTCTCGATAAGTTTCAAGTCGGTCGCAGTCTCGCCAGTTAACTTGACCACCCTCAATCCAAGGCCCTTTCCGAATTTCTCCTTCCAATTGCGATACATTTCCTTCGCGAGAGCTTCAATAGGAGCAATGTAAACAGCCCGCATGATGTTATCGGGCCCTTTCTGAAGATTTCGCAGAATGGCAAACTCGGCGCATATGGTCTTCCCACTGCCTGTGGGGGCAGCCACCAGAACATTGTCGTCCGAGTTGTAAAGGACTGTGAAGACCTGTGTTTGAATGGGATTGAAATGCTTGAACTGCTGATAAAGGGCTTCGTACTCGGGGTTTCTCAGTGCTGTCACGGGCAAGGGCTGCAAATCGAGAAGCTCAGTCGGAGGAGGGTACTTTTCAGGCAGTATCAGATGCCGGAAAGAAACGGGCAGAACAGTCTGTGCGCCCAGCCATTTATCAGACACAACAACTATGAAGTACTGAGGAGGCAGCGGCTCATATATGGGGATAGTAAAATGCAGCGTGTGCTCTTCATCGATATACTGCTTCTTAAGCATGAAATATTCGTGATGGAGAATATTTTCCCCGTCGTTGTCCTCAACTATGATCCAAAAAGGTTCTACATATCCGTGGACCTTGTCTTCCCACATGAAGTCGGGCGTTATGGTTAGCTCAACCTTCAAAACAGAGCGGGTAATTGGTTGAACCTGCGCATTCAGGTTTAGCTTTGGAAACTGATGAATGCATTTATGAAGTGTTTTCCCCATCTTTGTAAAGCGAATGAGTTCTCCGATCTCCTGGACAGAGAGATCATAGTACCTTTCCCAGGCCAAATCCTTCTTTTCCAGCTTCATCATAATTTCATTCGGAAGACCATGAAATTGGCGAAGTGGTGTCTGCACGCTCCACATCCTCTTGCCAATCATCTTACACAGCTTCAAAGCCTTCTCAGCTAGTTGGGCCCACCCTCTCTTTAGGACAATTTCAAACAGCGCCCGCATCAAACGTCCAGCACTCTGCCGAAAGGAATGGAAAATAAATAAATCATGAGATATAGAAATCTAGAAGTAAATACGAGAAGATAAAATTGAGCCACACATAAAGGACAAGAAAGGCATAGCAAACCTGAGTGATGTAAACCATGTCAGATGTCAATGATAGTCCTTCAAGCTTCAACTGTGATATATAAGCTTGAAGTAGAACATTAATTTTTGCGCTAGGTTCCTCAAGACTCTCTTTGACAGGTATTGGTACCCGGTCCAACAGCTTGGCTAGTTCCATCTTCTCATCCTGTCTAACAGTAACGTATTTAAACTCTTCACTAAGCGAGAACAGACGACAAAGCTCAATATCACCCATGGTTGGTTTCAAATGCTCATTGTATGTAGATATCGTCCCATGACTTATGTAGTAATAGCTAGCAATTCGTCCCAAGTCGGTGACCTGGAAGTATCCACTCTTCCTGTCATACTTCACCAGATTATTCTTATCCAACACTGTAGCTGCTGAATGTATCTGAAATACCAAACAGAACAGAAATAGTTATTCCAGAGATGTAGTTCAAATACACTCGAGACGAATTCAAAGAAACCTAGCATGGAGACAACTTTGATAATTCTTGAAGTGGACCAAATATCTGAACTTTCTATTGATGTATATTAAATAGATTTATCTACCCAAAGGACACAGCAAAAGATCCTATCACAGCTCAGCAAGGCATGCTATAGGGATAAAAAAAAAATTGAAACTCAGCATTCAAGACTAAAATTGGTCGTCTTTTAGTTGATTTCAGATAAACAATTGCAGTACAAAAAGGCCCAAGTCAAAAGAGCCTAGCAATTAGCACCGTGTTAGGACACAAAGATGCTAACATCTATTTCTAGCCTTCTACATAAGCAAAGCGATAATGAACTCGTCATACCAAGGTAATATAAAAACCAGCAGTGCAAAACAGTCCTATGAGAAGTATCCTCAGTTCAACTACTACAGCATACCATATACAAATAACAAGTGAATATGAATCCAACTACTTGGGTCCAACCCCCTTCACCCAGATTCAAGCAATTACTTTTACTAGAAATATAACTAACCGAGCAAGTACTTCAAGACAGTATTTTTATGATCCAGAATCACAAAATGATACCAAATTACAAAGCAAATCAAGAGGTCGAGGACATGCTCAAAACAGGTAAAGAAGCAAATAAATGCTTACCAGATCAGCTCGTCTTTCCTCCAGGGTCTTATCTTTGGCCACCGAATCAGGCGTCAAACCATAGAGGCTAGGATTCCGCACCATGCGAACCCAAAGGTAAGTATATAAGAGCCATTTGCATGCTTCTCTAGCATTCTGCACAGTTCCAAGGACAATTTCTGCATTCAACTGATCAGCCAACTTCGATATGAACTGACTTTCAATGGGAAGCTGCTGATTCATTAAAGACAGATAATAGTGTAATTCACTATGTCCAGTGATAATTATTCCTTCGCCATATGTATCATATTGCGGCCTCCCAGCACGACCAAGCATCTGCATGACGTCTAAAGGACTTAATTCAGTCCATGCTCCTTTCTCAGGATTGTAAATTTGGGTTCCTTTGATAATAACAGTATGGGCAGGCAAGTTGACACCCCAGGCAAGAGTTGCAGTAGAAACTAATACTTGTATGTGCCCATCAGTAAAGAGCTCCTCAACAATTTGCCTATCAGCTCTAGCCATCCCTGCATGATGAATTGCAAAACCATAGGGCAGCAGGTCCTTCAGATCGCTACTCTTGATTAGCTCCACCTGAGACTGCAAAATTTCACGACTTACACTATCTTCCTTCAAGAACTTACTAAGTGTGTCATTGGCAAGGGCCGTATCACGAATTGCACGAGCTGTTTTGGTGGTTTCCTTCCTCGAGTGGACAAAGATAAGCACTTGATGCTTTCCGGCAACGCTGATCACCTTCTCGTAACACACATCATTCATTAACTGAAATCTCTGCAGTGGCTTCTTTACTGTAATACCAATGTACTGCTGGGCCAGAGGAACGGGCCTGTAGCTATTATCAAAGTGGAAGAGACCTTTATCTGGATCTACTCGTAAAAGTACTGCAACATCTTCATAGTTTGGTAGGGTAGCAGATAATCCAACCAGCCGGATATGATCTTTTGTAGATTCAATCTGCCGAACAGTTCTTGCAATGATACTCTCAAGCACAGGACCTCTATTATCATGCAGAAGATGGATCTCGTCAACAATCAGAAGTTTCACAAGCTGCGTGTACGTTCGATCACCTGATTTTCTGGTAATGATGTCCCACTTTTCAGGAGTAGTCACAATAATTTGAGTTTCTTCAATCTGCTGACGAGTCAATGTCTGATCTCCACTAAGCTCTTTCACCTGGACCCCATAATGCTGAAGACGGTTAGAGAGGTTGCCAACCACCTCAGCAACCAGAGCTTTCATGGGCGCAACATACACGATCTTATAACTGTTATGGCTAATAGACCCATCAGCACTCATATTCAAAGCAAGCTGCTGAAGTATGGTGAGCATAGCCACATTTGTTTTCCCAGCACCAGTAGGAGCACACAACAAGATGTTTTCTGCACTAAACAACGCAGTCTCGTAAACTTTACTCTGGACCCTGTTCAACTGGGTCATTCCTCTAAAAGCCGGTTGCGACCACTCAGGCATGCTTGCAATCTTCACCAACTGCTCGTTATCAGCCAATGGCTTAGGCTTCAGAGCCGGCACATGAACCTCCTCATACCCCTTCCTATGGTTCCTATAAGACCCCAACGGAAGCTCACACTTCTTGTTCGCCATCAACAACCCACCCTGTTGAAAAGACAGGCTATCCAGGTCAAGAAGCTGCCGCTGCCCCTTCAGCCAGCCGCCATCAACATCCCTATCAGCGGGCCCGTGACGGGCCCGGTCACCATCCCTATCGTCCTTCAGTCTTCGAGCCTCCTCCCGAATGCTCTTCTCCAGATTCTTCTGCCTCTCCTTAGCAGTCGCCCTTGTGGCATGCAGCTGCTCCAAAATCGCAGCATGTTCAGATCCCATCCCCATCATTTCCTCCTCGATCTCCTTCCTCTTCTCCTGATCTTCGGCCCTCGCCAAGCGAGTACACCAGACCACTTTCAACCGGTTCCTCAACAAATACTTGATCAGGCTGAACTTGTCAAACTGCAGATGCACCAAAAGCTTGGTCTCGACCTCGCGGTCATCCCCCTCGGCAAGAATCTTCAAAACCTCCTCCGCAAGCTTCTGGCTCTGCTGTGGGTCGATTTTCTGGTCGTACGCCTGAGAAATTTTCCTCTGAAGCCAATACGCATCGACGTCCTGCACATTCAACGTCATCCCCTCATTGGCCTCCCGCCCGTCCTCGTCATCAATACTGCCGCCCATCTGCATAGCCCCGGAGCCGTCCATCTCTGCCACATCATCATCATCCTCCTCATCCTCCGGAACCAAATCCAGGTCACTCTCCTCCTCCTCCTCCTCGTTCTCCTCAAACTCAACAGCAACACCGACATCATCATCGAGCCCTTCATCCCCATTCAGAGCAGCTTCACCCGCATCGCCGGCATCGTGATAGTCGGTAATGAGGCGGCCGATGGAGACAAGCTGGTCGAAGGTGGGAGCCGAGATGGGATTCAGCAGCTTCTCGATCTCCTTCTTCTTGTCGGGGTTCTTGATGTTGTCGTTCTTGAGGACGGCCAGGATCTCGTCGGCGGCCCCACTGACGATGTTAAGGGGCTGGCCGCCCAGCTGCTGCTGGATGACGCTGAGCATGGCCTCATAGGCGGCCCTAGTCTCCTTGGTCTTGGGCTGGTAAACACCCTCATCGGATGAGGTGAGGACGCTCTCCTCCTGGAGGCGCCTCTTTTTGGTCCTGGGAGGAGGGGCATCGAGGGCAGGGTCACGGTCCTTCTTCTTCTTAGATTTCTTCAGTTTCTCCTCCAGCTCAGGCGGCTTGTCCCGGTAGGCACGGTCACCGAAGGATTTGGGGTCGATCTTGCCCCACAAGGACTCCGGCTCGCCAGTCGGCTCGTGGGTATCTCGAGGCCGGGAGTCGGTTGTGAGGACGAGGCTTGAGTTTGCTCTGTACTCGTACTGCTTGAACCTCGCATGAGCCTCCGCACCACCGCCGGGGTGAGACATCTTCTTCAGTAGAGTTCAGAGGAGAGATACCTCCAATTGATTGAAACCCTAAAACCCTAAAATAGGAGAAGGAATGCAAGCAGGAGAACTTGCAGCTTCTAATTAAAGCTGAACTAGTTTTCCGCAAACTGAAAACTCAGTACGATATGTGGTCCGATGAGAGAACTGTAGAACACAATCGGTATACAGCATGTGAATACAAAGGTTTTATTTCGTCGCAGCCGAAGAATCAAAGAACCGCCTCTCCAATCCAGTCTCTCATTTTCACTCCCGTAGCATCAATAATATTAGGGTGGGTTTTGGGTTGCACTTTTTTTATTGGGCTTCATATAATACTTTGAGTTTGGGCCCTATTTTATGTTTGATACTAATGTTATAATCAAACCCAACGAGTCGAGCTTGGGATGTTCGAGCTGGTGATCATTTACCTTCGAACACTGTTCGTGTTCGTTCGTTTATTTTTCGAGCAAAAAATTATGTTCAAGTTCGAATAATTCACAAACTTTTTAAATATGTTTGATGAATTCGAAATTTGTTCGTTCGAACTCAAAAATAAAAATATAAAAATATAATAAAAATATTTTTTTATTTTTTTATTTTTTATTAAAATTATTATGTAAATATATAAAAAATAAAATAAAATAAAATTATATTATATTAATATTCGGAAACATTATCGAACATTCGCGAACGAGCTAGTATTCGTTCGATTATTAAACGAGCCTAATTTTCTATTCAAGCTCGACTCGATTAACAAACAAACGAGCTTTTCTTCACGAATGTTCGGTTCGTTTGAAGCCCTATATGATAGTATCTATTTAAAATTGTTGGGAAATTTACATATCTATAACTTTTAGTCATCTTAATTTCATCTTTACGGTAGAAAATAAGTTTTATCATATTAGGAGTTATAGATGCAAATAATATCAAAAATATGCTTCGTCATTTTAATCCCAAGAATCTTGCAGTCGTCCACTCCTTAACGGACTCAATTAACCTCATATTTTCCCAAAAAAAATCACTATGAAATTCTGAGACATAATTTCTTATTTTTGGCAATCAATTTACAGAGCACGCTCCAGTCGAGATCTCCCCTTTCTTTTATTATTTTTTTAAAAAAAACCACGATATGGGATTGAAAATAGAAAAAAAAAAATCGGTCGAGCCAACAACTCATTAGATGCGCACAAAAAAATTGAAGGTATTTTCAAATTCTGAGTTTGATTAATTTTATTTAGGGTAAATAATAATTTGCAACCTGTATTTTGCAACCTAAAGAATTTTTTGTACTAAATTGCAACCTTTAATACACAATTTGTCTGTATCGCAACCTCCGGCCATCGGCGACCCATTTTCCACCAGAAAAGCGAGCGTGTTACACACACGTACCAAATTTGAGGGCAAAAATGTCATTCATCTTTCTTTCTCCTTCATCTTTCATCCTCTCTCACACACACTCTCACACACAGTCAAATTCAAGGGAACCGCAGCCGCAGGGAACCACCATCTACCGCAGCGCTTGGGAAAATGAGCCCTACTTTGTCGCCGGAGGAGTCTCACGCAGTCAAATTTGACTTCAGGGGAACCACAGGGAACCGCCATCCGCCACAGTGACTGGGAAAAGGAGCCCTACTTTGTCACCGGCGGAGCCTCACGCAGTCAAATTTGACTCCAATCTGGACGGACTTGTCGAAATTGCCTCAGATCTGAAGAAGAAGAGCAATCTGAATTTCAAGAAATGTGTTCGAAACTTCTCTTCGATGTGTTCGGCTTCTTCCTCGCAACCCCCATTTTTCCTTCCAACAACATCACTCTCTACGACGACCCTTTCTTAAACGCTGCCTCCATCGCCTGTCGAAGGAGAAGAATTGCATCTTCCTCTCGATGCCTATGTTCTTCCCGTCATCCTCCACAGGTCCGATTCCTCGATCTCACAATTGGCTCCGCCGCCTCTTTTTCATGCGTTTTCTCTTTCGCCGTCGACGGGGTTCACGTTTCTTATCACATCCAAAAGCACGAAATTGACGGGCCTCTACGATGATTACATGGGCATCCCGATCGAGGGATCCAATTATCTCGCCGTGGAATTCGACTTTTGAATTGACTGTGTGTGTGAGAGGGGAGGATGAAAGAGGAAGGAGAAAGAGAGATGAAATAACATTTTTACCCTCAAATTTGGTACGTGTGTGTAGCACGCTCGATTTTCTGGTGGAAAATCGGCCGTCGATGGCCGGAGGTTGCGATATAGACAAATCGTGTATTAAAGGTTGCAATTTAGTACAAAAAATTCTTTAAGTTGCAAACCCAAAATTCGCGTATTGTACAGGTTGCAAATTATTATTTACCTTTTTATTTTTTATTTTATTTATTTATTTATTTTATTTGATGTCTATACATGTAGAAAAATGTCTGGATTAATGGTGTTTATCCATTTCAATGGCGTATGAATGCAATATTACCCATTAAGATGTATGCAATGGGGAGGTGAAACATCATAAAATGATCATGTTGGGTATTTCATAGGATTTGCCGAGCATGTTGAAGATACTATGGTTAAAACAAAAAGATATACAGAAGATACACATGAGATAAACCAACACAGAGGATGTGTCGAAGTGATCGGTGAGTACTTAAGGTTTGATATTGTGGTCGGACAATGATTCCCAAATAAAAGTGCAGTGTAGTATTGTAAGGATATCTGGCTTATTATCCGTAGGCAGCCGTATGCCTTATCGTCATGAAAAGTAAACGAAACATCTCAATTAATTATTATTAAAATTACTTTTTTGAAGATTTTTTGTATATGACTTAGTGTAATTTTCTTTTGTCAATTAATGTTTATAGTAGTTATTTTTTGTGCCTTTTCTGTTTTTTTAGTTTGCTAGTGACATTAGGGATAGTTTAGGTCTTTTAAATCATGTTTGTTTGTTAGGAATAAGTGCAATAAATGTGGAGAAAAATGGCACAATGTAAAAACATGTTCAAATTCGAAGAAAATGTAATAATAATAATATGTCCAAAGTTAAAATAAGTTTAATAATATTTTCTTATTGATAATAGTATTAATTAAAAAACCATATTTATTTTTTATTAATCTTGTACGAAGGTTCATATCCTACTTGAGGTAACTGTTGTGTTTAACTAAAATATATGTTGTGTATACTGAAACCAAATATAAGTTGTGGTGAAACTAAAGTACATGTTATATTTATCTTTATGGATATAATATTTTAGATAATTATAATATATTTTGTGCCTTCTGTCAGAGCTACTCCTCCTTATGAGCTCGAACCTCTGGCGGTTGCATGTGCTGTTGGAGAATTCCCCACACCTTGGATGTTGGGCGCGAGAGTCCTCAAATCTTGAGAGCTAGCTGAAAAACCAGGCGGAGGACCTACTCCCCACGTCCGGGTACCTGCCTACACCTCGTCGAACGCAGGTGCTAGGTTTTGAGTAGGAACTTCGTTCACCATGGCTGTAAGCTTGGCTTTTTAACGCGTCCCATAGACGGTGCCAATAATAGTGAAATTGACTTCACTCTCTACTCGATCCGCTGCCACGGGATCTGTTTCCTTCTACCTCGAACGACCTTCGACCTACAAGAACTCGACACCATAAGGGGGGTTTTCTGGCAAAGAATCTCCGATGCCTAAGTCACAGTAAGAACAGAGATGATGAAAATTAATTTGTATATAAGTGAGTGTGAAGAGAATGTAACACCTTAACTAACCTACCACACTCCTTTATATAGGAGTGTGTTGTCTTGTTCCCCAAGTCTGCCTGGAGGGTTGACCCAATTGTCCCTGCTGCCCGTCCGTACGACCTACAGTGTCTCAGGCTATTAGGTGTCAGGGGTGCAGATGACCTAACCCCATTGCAACACGTGGTCCAATCCTCGTATGGCATGGTTTTCCAGTTAGATGCCCTTTTGTCCCGCCACGTCCACGTCATCAGATAGAAGATTGATTAAGTAGAGCATGGTTTTCCCCAGCTCCTCTATCAACTAGGTAGGACGTGGTCGATCGACCTCCTGGTCTTCTGAGGTCGAATTGGGTGTGAGCTTATCTTCTGGTTGTGCTCTCCTCTCAGTATGTCACCTTTGTTGACTATTAGTGTGTGGCCCGTGCAATGCACAGGGAAACATGATATAACGATTGTATTATAAATTAAATATATAAATAACATTAATCATGATTTATTCATTGTTTTTAAATTAAACCGGGTTGGACACAGTCCGACCGGATGGACCAAGAACCGGTTTATAACCAGTCTAGTTCGCTTGAATAAAATATTTGCTCTCGAATCCTTCAATACCAGTGGGTTGGACTGGTATGATCGATACTATTTTTAAATAAATTTTGTTATATTTAAATTATTTTAAATAAAATTACATATTTAAATAAAATAGAGATTTATAAATTATTTATTAGTTAGTTTAAACATTTGAATTTATAAATTGTTTAGATATCTAAGTAACATATTTTATTTAAATTTATTACAAAAAGTACTATATATATATATATATTAAAATGTTTATAAATCAAAATCTGAACAAACCACAAATGATTTAATAAAATAGCTTGATCGTTTCGATGACAATCCAGTTCTGAAATTAATAAATATTATAATAAAATATTATTTAATTAACATAAATATTCATAAATCATTAAACATGTTGTCATAAAAGTATTGTTTAATACGATTATTGAAGTTTGGACTAAATCACATTCACATAATAAAATATTTTCAATATAAAATTTGTATTTAGGTTCAATAATCGATTTCGTGTGGTCGAACTGATACATAACTTAGTCACCTGGGGCAAACTAAGTTGTGTCAAATTTTTTGACTATTTTAAATATCACATAAAAGTAATTCAATCAACCTGAGCAGTACCCTAATTCAATCATCCGATTGATCCGAAGAAATTTTCTTATTTCTTTAAATATATTTAATTTTATAAAATAAAAATATTTTATGATTCATATAATAAATGTCTACACCAAATGATCGTATATTAATATTATAAATTATATATCTAAAGATGAATTAATTATTTTTATTTTATGCATATAAATAAAAAATAAACATAGTAATTTTTTAAAAATTAAGATTAATTGATTGATTATGAAATTTAAAGAATATTTTTAGCGTTCTATATTTTTTTAAAAGGCACAAATATAAAAAACGAGATTCTAAAACTTTTGTTATATTTTAAATTGAGATTTTATAAATATAGAGACCGAGATTTTAATGTTGTTCGTTGTTTCTAAGAAATAAATAAAAATAAAAACATACACACTTAATAAATCTTAGCTGAATTTTTTAAATAATAAAATGAACTAAAGCCTGAAATTTAAGGTAACATTTAATGTTGTATAGCTTTAAAAAAATAAATAAAAAAAACAATAAAACTTACTATTTATAGGTTGTATTAAATTCTGACCTATTTTTTTGCTACTACTTTTGGTAAATGGTAATTCTTATTATATATACTAGTACAGAGCCCGTGCGATGCACGGGGTGCACAATTTTAAGGCTATTTATCCAGGCTTATAATTATATACATGAATAAAGAAAAATGTACGGGATATATATAGTACGTGACCCGTGCGAAGCACGAGATATATTTATTTAGAGAATATTATATTATAAGATGCAATATTCAATAAAAGTTTATAATACGCAAGAAATTGTACAATGTTCAATAAAAGTTTTATAATATTCAAGTGGAGTCTTAAAGTCTCTTGTACATTAAGACTACTGACAAAATAATATTTTAATCAATGAGTTTCCTTTCCTTGTAGCCAAATTGTGAATGTGATTTGAGGAGTACAACAAATCGATATATAGCTGACTTGCTTTTTTCATTGTAGTTTTTTTTTTTTTTTTTATAATGAATTTAAATATATTCTAAAATATAGCAAAAATTAATTTTTTATTACAATTAGGAATTTTACTAAATATAAACTCTCAATCTATGGTGTTAATCAACGTTTAAGTCTAAAAAATTAAGAATTTTTATCTCTTTTAATCAACGTTTAAGTCTAAAAAATATTAAAGTTATTATAAGCTTTTTTTTTACATCTTTTAAAACATTAAATATGAGCATGTTAGGGCTAGCTTGTAAAATAATTAATATATTATCTCACTAAAACGTTTATACTAATAAAAATTTAATTTTAGTATATAAATTTATCCTTTAATATAAGAGAAAGTAACAGTTTTACTTATTGTTGTTCACCATACAATATTTAGTTATTATTTTATTATATAATAAAAAAAAATATTGTTAAATAGTGTAGTGGAATTGTTATAAAATTATATGATTTTTTTTTTACAATATGAATTTAATATTTTTTTTATGATTTGATAATATAAACAAATCTATACTTAACTTTGACAAATAGAACAAATAAATATTTTAGTAAGTATTTAATGTATATATTAAATAGGAATATATTTAGTATAATCAAATACCAAATATAATCAAATAAGTCAAAGTGTACATTTTTATTTAGTATTTGATTTTTTTATTATTAAAATCTTTTTATTATACTTACCTTTTTAAAATAAAACAAATAAATAAATCAATCAAATAAATAAAATATTATAATACCAAAATAGTAATGACATTTAATGCAGTTGACTTTTCTGGATAGTAAATGTAGTAAATAGAATATCTTTTTATATAATATAATACGGAAATAGTAATGCAATAAATGCTGTTGACTTTTCTGGCTACTTAATTTGGTAAATAGTACCCCTTTTAATATAAGTATAGATACGGAAATAGTAATGCAATAAATGTTGTTGACTTTTCTGACTATTTAATTTGGTAAATAGTACCCCTTTAATATAAGTATAGATACAGATTCTCTTCAAGTCGACGTGAGTCAAGCTGCTTAATTTTGTTGGAAGGTCTAAAATATGATACCTATATAAAAAGTTAACTTTGAATCAAGCTACTTGATTTTGTTGGAAGGTCTAAAATATGATACCTATATAAAAAATTAACTTACTTTACCGAATTAATCAAAATAAAACCAATATAACTACTTTCAATCACCCCTTTAACATCTCTATATGGGTTGATGGAAATTGGAATGATAGTTGGCATTAATAATTTGTTAACATCTCTATATCGGTTGATGGCAATTGGAATGATCATTGGCATTAACAATTATTTAAAAGAAAAATGTAAAATTAATTAATTGGTAAATGTTTAAAATGCATAAAGAAATACTGAAATAGACAATTGGCTCGAGGATGTGATCGGGTTTCTCCCTTCTAGTTTAGCGTCTTCATTGAANAAATTAAAAATAAACAGAAAAAACAAAAACTTAAAATAGAAAAAAAAAAAAAAAAAAAACTCGTGACGAGACGATGGAGGCGGCCATGGGATTGATGCGAAGAATACATCCGAAGCATTCTGAAGCGGCCCTGTCAGCATTGTTAAGCCTTCTCCCTCACCACTCCTCGGATCTTCTCTCTCAAGTAGACCAGCCTCTGCAGGTTTAATCTTTATACCATTCATTTATTCATTGTCTAATCATTTAGGGTTATGTCAATTCAGTTTTTAGCTTAGAAGATTTGCTCAAGTTCCGACATTTGTTCTTCTGTTTGTATTTCACAATACCTACTTCGGTTTCATTGGTCGATATATAGCTGAAAACGGATATAAATGTTAGCAACCTAAATTCGCTCATATTTTCGTTGAAATATGGTGCCAAGAAGCTGAGTTCTGTACTGATTTTTTATTTTTTATTTATTTTTCTTTTAGATTTGAATTTGAAATGAGATCATTCATTTGGTCTAAAAACACTCATTCTGTTTAATGCTTTTATACATCTAAATTTCTTTTAATTAACTTCTCTTGTTGGCGTTGTGCCTTTTTTTTAGGGTCTCTAATTTTTACGAACATCTCTCTAGCTTGGTTGGTATCTTCGATCATGTCATTCTGTGCTCGTGCTGTGAATCATATTATTATCATCATTGAACTGTTTGATAGGCTTCGCCATTTTCTGAATATTGTATCGACAAATGTTGAAGTCTGAATATGATGTCAGGTTTTATGTGACGTGGATAACGAGAAGGAGTTCTTGCTATGCGAGTATAATAGAGATGCAGACTCTTATAGGTACATATAGACGGCATAAACATTTTTTATATACACTGGATCCTAATGCGTATATTTAATTACATTTGGAACAAAATATGAAAATCATATTTAGTCAGGACCCCGGATTAGCTCATAGCATGCATTAACTAGATTTCTCGCGGGATTCACATTTGTTTGATATTTTTGTTATTTGCTGGCATAACTGAAGACTTTGTTACTCGTGGTTTGTTTCTCATGTTTTGACCTGAAGGTCACCGTGGTCAAATAAATACCATCCCCCATTAGACGACGGACCTATTCCATCACCAGAATTGAGGAAACTTGAAATTGAAGCAAATGAGGTCTTTGCTATCTATCGTGACCAGTGAGGTCCCTTACTTATCTCGTACTTTCTCGTTTATTATATGAGCTTATTCCATTATAGCTCTGTCCTGTGTGTCGTATATTTTCCTCTATTTTTATCTTGTTGCTTTGAGAGCTTCTAGCAGCTAAATTGACTCATCAATGGCTAAGGTACTATGAAGGTGGAATTTCGTCAGTGTATATGTGGGAAGATGAAAATGATGGATTTGTAGCTTGCTTCTTAATTAAGAAAGGTGATTATCTCACCTTCAATTTTATTATAAATGATGCTCCTCTTCTTGTGCGTAAATTCTTTTCTTTTCTTTTGGAGTAAAGATGGCTCAAAGACTGCCGACGGCAAAAGAGGTTATCTTCAAGAAGGATCTTGGGATGCCATACATGTTATTGAGGTATATCATCCACCTAGTCAGACCAAACGAAATGGACTAAGAAAGATTAACATTCCCCCAAAATCATATTAACACCACATTTATTTGTGTACTTGTAGGTGGGGCCCATGGAGGAAGAAACTGCTCGTTACTGTTTGACAAGTTCAGTTATGCTCTCATTAACTACAAATCATGAGTCTTCAGGCTCCTTCAATTTGTCGGGATCAATTAGAAGACAGGTTTATTTGAGCTTGTGGACTTTTGCTTGAAATTTATTTAATATTCTTCGGTTCTGTCTATTTCTGTGTTTTATACGATTCTCTTGTTACATGATGTTCTTGTATGTGTTTAGATGAATATGGAGCTTTCGGTTGAGGAGGGTCATTTATGTAATATGGGAAGGATGATAGAAGAAATGGAGGGCAAGCTGAGAAACTCTCTGGATCAGGTAACTTTTATTCTTTTCCTAACATCTTTATATCTTTGCAGTTTCAACTGTTTACATTTCTTATTATTACTTTTTCTGTGAGGAATGAGGATGCATTAACTAAGTGAACATTGAACTCAATCTTCAGGTCTATTTTGGGAAGACAAAAGAGATGGTTTGTACCTTGCGGCCGCCTGCTGAAGTTGTTCAGACAAAACTTCCTGATAGCTGAAAGTGCAATATTCTCGAAATACTTGGATTTTTTTTTTTTCCAATATTATTTTAATTGCTTATTTGTCATCACACAATGTTGTATGTATCCTATGCTGTCTGAACTGAATTTCACCGTTCCAGAGAACTTACTGATGAACCGTTAGTTTAAGCTCCAGTTTGGTGCAGAATTGTCTTGACTTCTTGTTTGTGTTTGCTTATGTAATTGCTTAACTTATCACAATGAAGGCTACTTGGATACGATTTTGAACCTCCAAAACTGGAGAAGGAAATTTGTCCGATTCTCATTCAGTGATTATCATTTCATATTTTGAATTCAATTTCATTCCATTTATTCTTTTATATTTTTTTCCACAATTATTACTATGCATATAACATATTTATAACTATCATTACAGTTAATTGTTATTCTTTATATCCCCTTTATATATTAATTCAGAACGTGCTGAGCTTATGTGACAGGTTCGCATGTTTCGAGATCCTATGTGGCAAAATTACATGCTTCGTTATTAGGCTTGTATAGATTTAATTTACTTCTAATCCAAAAACATTTAGGTTCGGATTATCTATAAATATGTTGATTATTTATGGTAGGGATGGGCTCGATCCAAGACGGTCTTGAATTTGATTTGTCCGGATACCGATCCCACTTTTATGAATCGGTCCATACATGGTTGTTGTACTAGTATATTTTTATTTAAAAAAAAATATAAATTCTTTCTACCAATTCCATTTTACCAATAGGAACATATCCAATCACAAATGATAATTTGAAAAGTCAATAAAAATGGACAAAGTCGATACCCAAACATTATCACCGTAAATCATAATGGGGTTATACAACATGGCATTTTTATTTGGAAATGATGAGACTGTTTCACCTCCACCAAATGGCCTATTCTTATAAGGATATTGCATGATGTTTTTCTTTTCCCAATTTAACTTTTTTTTTTTCACCTTGCCCCATCAAGCCACCTTCAATTCACCATTCACAAGGATACATAATCCGATGAGATACATGAATGCTGAAAGAAGGTGGACAAAACACCAGGACTTATGAAATCCCATTCTAATCTCTGTTCTAGAGTGCTAACGTCTCGTTTTCTGAAATTCAAGAAAAATTAACTACAGTATACCCATTATTAAGAAGGCTTTGATTTTCTTCCAGCTTTTGAAATGCGCTTAAGTTGTGTTGTCCCCGTTCTCGATTCCCTATAGTATACAGCCAAAGCATCGTGAGGTTAGATGAACTTGAGCGTGTTTGCTCGACTTTCCTGTACAGTTTTGTAAATTCATGGACAAGAAAGAAGTACCTTTGGTACAAGTACACAATCAAGTAAAATATAGGAAGGAACATTAAAACCAGTACAGATGTCGCCAAGTAGAAGATACTTGTATGCTTCTGCACATGAAGAACGAATTAACCAACATCTATGTGGAAAATCAGAAGAAGAAAAAAAGAGGGGAAAACCCGTATAAAGTCAGAAAGAGTAACTCAAATCAATTAACTCCAAAACACGCTGTATAATTTAATTTTGCAATTAACCGAGTATCTAGTCAACCTTCACTCGCCTTTATTAGTATAAAATGGAGGCACCAAATAGTAACCACTTACCCTGCCTCCCCTTGCGAAAGGTTTTCTCCCTTTCAAGCAAGTGTGAGCATCACAAAATTGGCGCAAAAAGAACTCTGCAGATATCACCCCAAGGGAGTTGTTTACAAAACAGCGTGAAGAACAAAAGTTGTCTTCATAGTTTAACAGATTAAAGAAAATTGCTACCGTGAAGACGAGTCACCGAGGGACCATCCTTAACAGGAAAACAGCTGTCAGCTACATTCTGCAAAGAGACCACATATTAAAAAAATATATATACATAAAAAAAAGCAACAAAAAATAAGAAAAAAAAATAAGAAAAGGTCTCAGATCAGTGAGAAGAATACAAATTACAAAGCAACCTCGCATAAATGACGATTTCTTGCAGCCGCAGCAGGATTGCACTTAGTTTTATGAGATTGAGAATTAATCACAAAATCACAATGCAAGGCTCCACAAAGATCTGCTAAGCACTTCCCATGACTCTGAATGCAGAAAAGGGGACAGTGGCATTGGTCAGTACGCATTTTGTTATACAAGTTCAACTTAAAGCTAAGGCCATGCAACAATTGAAGCGAAACACAGATGCCTTCGTAATCATATGGCCCACACATTCAAGAAGGAATTGATCGTTTCATATAAAGCCTGGTGAAAATTTAGATGGAATGATATTTCATCTGAAAAGGTTCTGCACCAGCAGGGATCACGTTGAAAACAATTCAAAAAGATGGTAACTGTTTTAATCATTTTATTCACGTTTGATGTCAAAAGAGATTTAAGTGTGAACAGATAAACAAATAGCGATCAACAACTACGTGCTATTCATGTTGAAACTCAATGATGATGATTAATAGCAGCTAACACAATTTGAATAATAACTCAACAGAATATACTAGGATAGAGGGAGGAAAAAGATAAAAAAAAATCAATTTAAGAGTCCTTGAAGCTTGGTTTGAGGCATCTTGGGAGATTGATAGACACCAGAATCTTTTTTTGAAATTTTCAAATTTTGGGAAGTTCAATTCTTTCCAAGCAGAATTGTTCTGTGCTGGGAGGCTTTCTTTGTTTCTGGTTATGATTTATTTTTATAATCAACGCAATAAACCTCAATATTTTTTAATCAATAATTTCCTGATTCTTTACTCTTAAGTATCAATAGACAGTGCAAATGTATTAATTCAACCTTCAATACTACTTGCACTGGGATTCTGTTTATTGACGGCATCTCCATTAGCTGGTCCTATTCTGATGAATGGGTAGTTTTACACTCGAGTGGTTTTTACTGTTATTAATGCCACATACAGCAAAACCCTTATACATTATGATTTGGAACCCATCTAGCAACTTCAAGCATGACCACCTTGTTTTCTATCAATTCCACATGATATAAATTTCCTTTTCTTTCTAACCACGAGGACCAACATAAGCAAAAAAGACTTAAACTAATCAAACTACCAATTAATCTTGTAAAGATCTTTGACAGACTGCCGAAGTCCAAAACAGTCTCAGCAGCTGCAAAACATGGTAACACAATCTTCTGGATAAGGCACATCACTCTCTCAGAAGAAAGAAAATGTTTCATAGGTAATGGAGCCCTCCAATAGCTTCGTATAAGAGGAAAGGAACAAAGAATCATTAGGAAAGGAAATTGAATATCTAGAAGGATCTAAGTTCACAAGTCTACATACTCCACTCCTTCAGTTAACCTAACATCTTTACGTAGATCAGTAACATGAACCTTGTAATTCATATTCTTTTTAAATTTCAGAATAAGTAGAACTCCTAATATAACTTAAGACTCAGCAGTAGATCAAACTCTAACAATTCATGTAATTCATTTGTGATTTGCAGGAATTGCAGTTGAACACATAACTGGGTAAGGATGAAAGTGAAGGCACCATCACATACAACATTGAGAAGATTGTAATGCCTGTTGTCGAAATGCTGATCCAGAAACTTTTCTGCTCGAAAGATTTTTTTACAATACCCACATCTCCATTCATTTACGTCTACATGAACCTTGTGCTCTTCTTGTTCTCTAAATATATCATTGCTCGGATGAAGTCTGCATTGGCTTGAAAGTTGATACTTTTCTTTCTCCACAAAAGGCATGAGATACTGCAAAATGCGACTTCAATGTCAATAATGAAATAGAAGTGACTATACGCATCCCACATATTAGACTTTTGCATATTCGGAATACCTCCTCTATTATTTTCCAGGCTGCTCTGCTCCTCTCTCTTGAACAATGAACTTCAGGCTGCTCTTCTCTAAGATGTCTAAGCATTATAACAATAAATTATATGCTGTCAACAATATGACTACAAACATCATTTTTCTCTGACTTATAACTTGATATTGGACTCTCAACCATGACGTCTTTCAGTCAATGACAACATAAATAACTAAATAGTACTCTACAATAGGAACCTCCTAACCAAACTGCAACTCAGAAAAATTAAAATTAAAAAGTTAAGGATGTTGAAAGGAGTTGATTCAAAAAGAACCAAAAAGATTTAAGTTTTACAGAAACATAAGAAATTGTTACCTTGCAGCATCGCTGTCATTACCCTGTGACAAACGGAAAAGTGAATGAGCAAAATTATATTCTAATGTAAAAAAAACACACACTCATCGGCCATCACTAATGGGGAACAGCATAGTAAAAATATACCACAACTATAAAAAAGAAACTTCCCAGGACCTTAATGCAAACTCAAAAGAAACAATGTTTGCTATTTAAGAAGGTTATAGTTTCTGAGTTACGGTACGGAAAAATGACATTACTCATTAAAATATTGGCAAAGCTAATATTTAAAACCAACTGAAGTGGCAACATACTTAAAAAAAGGGGAAATAACTAAAAGTAAAAGATTCCTGGCCGTCTAAATCAGTTATAAGCGTACCAAAAGAAATATACAACAGCTCATGAGACAGCAAATGCATAAAGGCATAAACGATCAGAGAGCAATTAATACACACAATGTTCTACCATAAACCATGTAAGAAAATAATAAAGTATGATACAACATAGTCGGATTTATTAAGCAAAATATGTAATAGAAGCCGTCTTTGCCTCTCAAAAGGTGACACGAACATGATAACATGCCAATGAACCTGAGATGTGGTCTAGATGCAGCTTATGCGTGGCGTGGGAGTGGATAAAATAAAACAATATTTCTGGAGCAACAGCATTGGCAAGTTCACAGTTTTATGTACATCCTTCTAGATTCAAGATCATGCCTAGTCATTAAGACAACCTGTTGTCCTAATCCATAATCAATGACATTTTCTGACCCAGTTTCCTGATTAATGTATGAGATTAAGCTCCGGATCATTACATGACTTCTCACTTCAAACAATCCCACGAAACAAATTTTAATGGGCCTTAATTTTGGTATAGTTAAAGAAGCATAAAATTTTACTGAATAAACCTTTTTCCTATTTTCTGCTCGCATCTTGTTCACTCCTTCTAATGGAAACTAGAATAAATCTATAATGCTCCCAGATGAAAAAAGACACATACACACAAAAAAGTTGAACTCAAAGCCCTCAATTTCAAGATTTTATGGTCTCTTCAAGTACCACGGTCCAAATTCTACAAAGACTGGATCTTACAAGAAAAAGAAGTACCTGAATAGGTTGTGATAGAATGAGTAGCAGAGGCATCAGAATAAGAGAGAAACTGTAGATTGAACATAGTATCGTCTTCTCCATCTGTTGGTCCGAGGAAAAGAAAAAAGAAGTGAACCTATGGACGCACCTAATGTCCAACCTTTGCCCATATCATCACACGATTAATAGTGGGCCCATTTAAGGTTTATAATAATCAGACCTTTTTTTAATCAAACTATTCAATTTGATTTGATATAAAAGTAGAAGAAAGATGATGTGGAGTGATGATCTATTAAAATTATATGAAATTAATGAATAGTGAATTAAAGTTAATGTGATGTGCAAGAAAGATTGATTAATATTATTTAATTATATTGAAGATAATGGAATTGAGTTAAAGTTAAATTAAATTTAGGTATGTGTATGAATTTTTTAATAAGCAAACACCCTCTTAGCGGTTCTCTCTCTAAGAGCAATTGTTCTCTCTTTGAGAGAGTTCATTACCAGAGGGATCTTTTTGTGTCCGGTTGGTTAGCTGGGGCTAACCTTAGGAGCATTGCCTGGTAGATTAACGAAGAGAGGTCATTTTGGAGTTTAGGGTTTCTTGGGTTCATTGGTGAAAGAGGGCTCTGTTGGGATTGGAGAGGAGGTCGAATGATGTATGAGAAATTTCTCCTTATTAGAAGTTGAAACCAAGTCACTGATTTGCGGGATGAGGATATTCGAACGAGTGAAGAGAAATGTAATTGGAGTCTCTTTTGGAAAATCATAGGCGACAGGAAAGCAAGCTAGGTTGGTATCAAGAGGACAATGGGGCAAATACGGATAATTCAGTGTTAACGGTGAATCGCCAACTGTTACAGTAAATATGTTGTTGATGCTAAAAAATGTCAGTAATAGGGGTGAAGTGTACACTACTTCGGGTACTTTGTTCACAAAAATAAACATATGATTTTTGCTATACAAAATCAAGAAAAACCCAAGAATGAAGATGAAGTTTCTTATTCCTTGATATTTTTGGGAAATAACCCCGTTTTTCTCTCTTTTATAGGATTTTTTTTGGATAAGGTGAGATTCTCCTCCCTTTACAATAATGGTAGCCCAATATCTATACGGCATAACATGTGGACATGAAGTCATGTGGAATAAAATAATACAAATGATATTTTAATGTGTTGTACTTTTATGAATCGTAGCCAAATTGGGTATCACCATATATTTAAGGTGGTTTTTAATGGGGGATTACAGGATAATTATGGTGTGTTTTAGTTATACAGAATATTGAAAGATCGTAATGAAATAAATATGCGTAAAAAAAAAAAAGAGCAAGATACCGATATTGCTGATTGGCTGTGGCAATCGACAAGAAGATTGTTTCTTTAGAATTTTATTTGGAAATTTGTATGATGGATGCAACCAAGTATGGAAAGTATTTTTGTATGTGATCTTTGGGGAGATTAGGAGAACAAATGTGTAGAGAATAATAGTGGTGATGTTATGGTCGTGATTGACCTTGTTGTTTATTCATGCCCTGGTGATGGACCTTTGTGTCTGCATTTATAAATGAAAAAGGTGATGGTGCATTAAATGTTGAGGGTCAGCTAGTGGCGTAGGGTGGCGCCGCGCGTTTTAATGCATAATTGGATGGAACACATTGGGCGGTGCTATCAACTTTGCCAGTTTTGGTTCAGACGATAAAGATGATTGTCAATCTTTTTTTGGGAAGTTTTTGTGGGTTATCGAAAACCCTAATCCCATTTGTTTGGACTGTATGTGGGATGGATTCTTCACTTTGGCCTTGTCCGTCTTTTTGGGATTTAATTTACACCTGGGCCATGCTTTCTTTCGATTGTATATTTTTTGGGGTATAGCCATGGTTTTCAAAACTGGACCGGATCGTCCAGTTCGACCGGTTCAACCGAGAACTGGGTATTAACACCGGTCCGATTTGGGTATTGAATCGCTGGGCCAAGAAATCAGTCATGAACTGCTCGAACCGGTCAAAAAACTGGTAAAACCAGAAAACCGGTGGCGGTTCATCCGGCTCAACGGTTTATAATTTTGGACGTTTGTTACTTCAAAATAATTAATCTGACTAATAGACCATAATTGGCCGTGTTGTGTAGTGGTTGAAATGGTGAAGAGATGGTGAAGGTATTGTGTTCGAGTATCTCAACCAGCTATCTTTTAGTTATCTCCCCCAACATGTGTGTTTTTTAGTTTTCTCCTCTCTATGGATTTTTAAGTTTTAATATTTTTTAAAATTAAAATCTGAATTAAAAATTAAAATACAAACTATAACTTTATGGTAAACTACAATTAGGATATTGATTATCGAACTTTTATTTAAAGAACTATCATTATACACTAAAAAATTAATTATAAAAATATATACAATTATATATTATACATATAAAATAAATAAAAAATTATATATTAATTAAACCGGTTCGGCCGCTGGTCCGACCGGTGAACCATTGAACCAGTAGCTTAACCGGTTCGGTTTTTAAACATTGGGTATAACATTCAACAATCACTGGAGGTGAAAAAGAAACTGGGCCACAATTTCTTCTAATTCATCTTCCAGAACAAGGAGGATTTAAAGACGTTCGCTTTGGCCGATTGTGGAAGTCTTTCGATTTGGTCTTGGCTCTTGGTTTGGATTACAGACCGAGGTGGACACTACACTACCGGGTGCACTCTCGCTTCGTGTAATGTCGTATGTATTCTAGAGGTGGTGCCAACTATGCCTCGGCTCGGAAGGACGATGTAGAGGATCATAGGTTTTTCAGTCGGAGGTGAGGGGAGCAAGTAACATCGAGAATAAATTGGGGTTTTGAGAATCAGTTCTTGATTATATAGGAATGGCAGGATGATCTAAACAATAGGCATCAAGGGTTTTTAGAGCTCAACATGTGGGTTCAGGCACACAATATACCTCTCAACTGGTTGTGTGCTGAGGTAGGACTAAAAATTGAGAAGGTGTTCAAAAGAGTGAAGAATAAGGTGGTGGTTAGTGCAGGTAATCATGGGGGTAAGATTATCTGTCTTTTGGTTTCTATTATTCTATCTTTGGCTTAGTGGAATCAAGCTTTATTAACAGAATGGTTGTGGATCAGAGGAGTAACAATTTAAAAGGGATAATGGTACCAGCTACCAATGTCTCATCTCTGGGAGAGGTTTCTTTCAGTACTTTATCATCGGAAACTGAAGTAATGAATTTTGAGGTAATAGAAGAACTAGAGAGAGAACTTATCATGGTAGACTCAGTGTTAGCACCCCATGATGCTAAAGGTGGAAAGGCAAAAAATTGGAAGATATCTCAATCTAAATAAGGTAGATTAAAGAGAAAATCAGGATCAGGGGGGACTGAAGTGACACAGTTGAGTGGGAAGAGAACAAGAAAGGGATCGGAGTTGGAACAAATGGAAATGAAGAAATCCTACAAGAGAGATTCGAGACGAAGAAATTGAAGGTCATTGAGGAGAAGGTGGTGGAGGCCAGCCCAGAGTTGCTCCCAAGTGACAAATGAAGGTTGCGGTGTGGAACTGTAGAGGTCTGGATGGGCCCTCTATAATTCCCAAATTAAGGAGTCCTTGAGGACCCATCACCGAGTTTTTTCTTCTTATCAGAAAC